CATCATCATCATCATCGATGCTACAGCCCAATAAAAGAGACTCGACCTTCCCAAGTCTATTACGGCAGTCAGTTCTATCCATTGCCAACTGTTGCCAGTTTGCTGCGCCTATTTTTCTACCATCCTGATCTACACCATCCGTCCATCTGAGTTTTGGCCTACCCCTACTTCTACTTCCCACAGGTTGTGACATAAGGATTCTTCTAGGAGGGTTGTTTTGCGGTGATCTTGCCAAATGTCCTGCCTATCTTAGTCTTCCTATTTTTATGAGAGATACTACTATCTCATAGTTGTACCTCCTCCTCTAAACATCATTTTCACAGATGCCACCGAATATTCTTCTCAGGATCCTTCGTTCAAATATAAGCAGGAGGTTTTCATCTGCCTTGGAAATGGTCCATGTCTCCGATCCATATGTCAACACTGGTTGTATAAGGGTTTTGTATATGGATATTTTTGTTTTTTGGCTTAAGTTTCTGCTTCTCATATGTCTACTCAATCCAAAATAGCATGTGTTTGGTAGGATTATTCTTTGCTTGATTTCTTTCGTCATGACGTTCTCCTTGGTGATCAGAGAGCCTAAGTATGTGAATTTGTCCACCACTTCAAAGGTAGAGTTATCAAGAGTGAATTGGTGGCCGATGTTTCTGGCTCTATTGTTGGATGTTGATGCCATTATCTTAGTTTTCTCCTCATTTACTTGCAGACCCATATTTTTTGAGGCATTTGACAAGGTGGTACATATTTCTTCTAGTTTGCGTGTTGCGCGGGCAACTAGTTCAACATCATCTGCATATGACAAAATTTGGGATGATTTATTAAAAATGTTCAATCTGTTGTCTATTTCAGCATCCCTGACCGCCTTTTCCAGAGCTATGTTAAAAAGGAGACACGCCAGCGCATCTCCCTGTCGCAGCCCAACATGCGTTTCAAATGACTGTGATTGTTCGCCCTCTATTTAGAAGTATATAATATAGAGAAGTAATTGCCGACATATGAGCCCATAATCCACGCCAAAAACGAGGATTAATCAATGGTGTTGGAACCTTATGGAAATCTATTAATGGAAATTTAGACGCATCAGACGGTGAATATTTCAATCAATGTATAAATAGGATCACTACAGATGAAAATCAAATAGAAACACTCCTAAAGAACCAAATCTCTGTTACAACTTCTGTCACAAAATCTTTTTTTAACACAACTATCCAAAAATTACAAATAGACGAACAACCTTTTAACAAAGACCTTAACGATATTAATAAGTTCCGCAGGTATACCATCACTTCCTGGAGATTTAATATAAATTTTTTAAAATAAATTAAAAATATAAAAAAAATGTAGTACTTTTATTATAATTAAATTATAGGTATTGCATTATATATTTTTTCTACTCTTTTACTAGTAAATTGTATATTACCTACTATTTGGATGCTAAGTAAAAGCATCATAACAGATACTGACACGTAATGACTAGCACGTAATAAAAAAAATTACGCTTCAGTTTTATAAAAATGTGTAATATCACATAAGCCTCGTAAGTCAGTTGGTCGAGTTACCATGGAAACGAATAAACAGACGTTATTTTGATAGATTAAAAATTATTAATCTGTCAGTGTAAATATAGTGGTAATTTAATTTTTATTTTTATAAACGAAAATAATCGTAGAAAAAGTATAGTACACAACTTGAGTTGTAAGCTTATTATATGCTTGTAAAATTACTGCGCTCGCCGCTACGCGGCTCGCGCGTAACTTTTTTACTCGCATGTAATAAGCTTCTTACAACTCTCGTTATGAAATCGTAGGCTTCCACGGCCAGAGTCAGAATTATAGTTTATTCGTCTTTCGGGTTTGGACCGTGTCATTTGTGAGTGACCCAAAAGTGGGTTCATCTCGACGTTTCGCTACAATTGTATGTAGCTTCTTCAGGAGAACAAAGAAAAAGAAATCAAAAGACAGGAAGATGGGTAGTTAGCAACGGTAACTCAGTTACTCAACGCAACCAGAGGCGAATACTAACTACCAAGATGGGCATTTGGTCACAGTAACTCAACTACTTAAAGCAGCCAGAGGTGAAAACCAAATGCTAGTACATGGATTCACGTCCAACAGTTCAGAACACTAACGCGTCGAGAGGCAGGATTCACTACTCGTTATGTAATATACTATAATCCACTCTAGGCTTTTTACAGTTTGGCTGAGTATCGTATTCTTCACTATCGTCTTCATCATCGACCTCTTCGTCTTCGACTTGAAACGCATTTTCTTCAAGAGATTCTAGTAAGACATCCTCAATTTCTTTTTCTGTTGCTATCTCCTCATCATAATTAAAGGATGTTTAAAAATGTACAAAATTACCATTGTAATGGATGTTTTGGAGGAGTCTTTTTTGCAGGTAAAGCTAATGTTTTTTAATACATTTTCTGGTAGTAGCTGCTTATTTTTTTCAATTAGCGTTTTAAAAAAGACATTTTTACAGTTCAGGGTGTTCACAATATTGGCGAGATCGATATTAAAATCAAAAATTACCCTATGAAACTATTCAATTGTTTTATAATTTAATTAAAAGTCAAAGTGAATTAAAAATACACACATGAAATTGCATTAATAAAAATTTATGTGTTTTAAATTAATTAAGTTCATGAGAGATTGGTATACATACATACATGATGGCGAAAAATGTTAATAAATCGTTAAACTTTAAAAATAGATTTAAAAAAAATTCTCTGACAGAAATTTGAGCTGAGTTTGAGTAATTTTCAGCACGAAGAAAATGGAACTCCACAAGACTCAGTACTTAGACATTAATAATCTACTTAAACCCCTAAAAGGTCGATTATTTGCAGACCATCTTGTTATGTACATCAAAGGTAAAACATTAAATTAATGACAGATACATTGCAAACAGTCGACATATTTGTCAACTATGAAAAGGCATTCGACACCGTAAATCAACAAAAAATGTTGGAAGCCTTGACAGAATGCCGAATTGACTATCGGTATATAAATATAATTAAACACATATACCAAAACGCAACAGCCAGTGTTAGAGTGGGTGATCGTCAAACCCAGAAATTCCCGATACAACGTGGAGTACGCCAGGGGGACACCATATCACCGAAACTGTTCACTACGCTTTTGGAATATATATATGTAAAAGGGCAAAACAAGGGCATAAACATAAACGGAGGAAAGCTTAGCCATCTAACGTTTGCAGATGATATTGTACTTATAGCTGATAGGATAGATGAGGCCAAAGAACTTTTAAATCAGCTCTACCTTTCCTCGCTAGAAGGGGCATTGAAAATAAATATATTTAAAACCCAGATAAAGACAAATCTTGTAGTCAGCGAAGATATATGGGTAGGAACAAGATCCATAGACCAGGTAATGGCCTATAAATACCTAGGTCATGAGATCCGCATAGGAAAAGATCAACCGTTGAGCTTGTCCGTCGTATAACACTGACTTGGGCAGCCTTCGGCAAGCTGAACCATATTTTCAAATCGTCTGATATACCAATATGCCTTAAAAGAAAAACCTTTAATCAGTATGTTTTGCCAGTGTTGACTTACGGGGCGGAAACGTTGACCATGACAAGGAGAACAGTTCAAAAGATCCGAGTGTGTCAAAGGGCGATAGAGCGTGCTATGTTGGGCGTTTCACTACGAGACAAGATCCCAAATCGCCAGCTACGACAAAGAACAGGAGTGGCTGATGCAGTAGAGAGAGTAGCAACACTGAAATGGAACTGGGCAGGTCACGTGGCTCGAATGACAGATAATAGATGGACAAAGCGGATACTGGAATGGAGACCAAGAGATGATGCCTACCGAAGCAGAGTCCACCAACATGTTGGACTAACGATCTAAAACGTTGTCATAGGTATTAGATGCAAGAGGCACAAGATCTAAATAGATGGAAAATTATGAGGGAGATCTATGTCCAGCAATGGATAAGCGAAGAATGAATGAATGAATGATGATGATGATGACATTGCAAACAATGCTTAACCAGTTAGAAGAATGGTCAGCCAGCACTGGTTTCGAATTTTCAGTACCAAAAATTTCGACAGTATTCTTCAGCAAAAACCTCCCCTAGTGTATCCAACACTGAAATTGTATAACTCCGGTGGCATTTAAACCATCTGCAAAATTTCTGGGCATGTGGTTTTATCAAAAACTGTCAGGGCAGAAGAATATAAAACAGACTGTATTCATAAAAGACTAAAATTACTCAAAACATTGGCTAATAGAAATTGCGGATCAGATCAGACAACCCTATTGATAGTACATCGAACGTTAATAAAGTCTAAAATAGATTACGGGTTAATTGCATATACCTCAGATTCAACAGCAGCGCTTAAAAAGCTTGACACTATATACAATATTGGCATTTGAATTGCTCTATATCACTCAAGTTCTATTACCTCAGATCCAAGTAAACCTTTGTATGACAATGCATACCTTTAAATTACATGAAACCTTACTATGAAAGAATTCGAATGTACTGTTCTGAATTAAATATTCAATTTCCAAAAGTTTTCCCAGTAAACTCTTTTGACAACTGGTCTCCATGGACTATTGGGTAACCGAAAATCAATGTTTCATTAAGCTTAAATATTAAGGATCAAACAAATCCAGCAATCTTTAAAGCAGAGATGAACCAGCCCAGCAGTGCAAAGACTGGTTTAAAATATTATTTACCGAAACATCAAATTTGTTTTTTTTTAATTAAAAATTAAGTAATCGTGTAGGAAAAAGATTGCGAATTGCCTATTTGTCCAATTTATAAAATTCTTATTCGAGTTTACAAAAACAGTATACAGGGTGAAATTTCTTCTATGATCAAAATGTAATAATTTTTAGCCGAACCTGATTTTTTATTTTGAATAAATCAATTGATTAGGTGGTAACTAACGTACAGATGAAAGGTTAACAATGAATTTTGGTTAAAATGTATTATAATAGTTATCTATAATATGAACTGATTACTTACCGCAGGACAAATCCACATATCAGAATCGAAGTATCTACAGTCGATTATTTTGCCATTACATCGTCTCTGTTGTCTGCAGTACAAGTTTTGGAAGCATCCGTGGCTTTTTGTGTAAGTATATTCGGCGCAGTTTTCTCTGCACGTTCCGTCTGGATTTAAGTCTACTTCATTTTGTACATAGCCTTGTAGTAATTGGGTAGTTTCTTCATATGTTACTCCTAAAAAGTTGGAATTAATTTTTTTTGAGCAATCATAGCGGTATCTGGTACTATGATTACTATGAATAAGTTATTAAATGTTATACAAAGTTATACCATCTATAGAATGAATGTCGGGAAGGCATCTTTCTAAATAATTTTTAAATATAGATACAGATAGTACCTGAGTCATATCGACCAATATCTTATAATATTATTAATATTATATGTAAAATGTTAGAAAAAATGGTAAATAAAAGGCTGATATGGTATTTAGAACAACAAATACTCCTTATTTCACAACAAAGCGGATTTAGGCAAAATCGATCCATTATAGATAACCTAATAGACTTATAGTCAGGAATACATGAAGCATTTGCAAATAAGCAAGATTGTATCGCAGTCTTTTTTGATATTAATAAAGCATATGATACTGTCTGGCGATTCAATATCATATCAAAATTGCGTAACTGGACTATCAGAGGCAATATGTTAAATTTTAAAAACGGAGTACCACAAGGATCAGTTATAAGCTCAACCCTTTTTCTAATAGCCATACATGACATACTTCAACAATGCTCACCGATTGTTAAAGGAAGATTATACGCTGACGACTTAGTTTTGCTTGCCAAAGGAAAAAACTCTACAACTTTTCAAAAACATTTATAACAATCAATCAGTTAGAATCATGGTCTAGGACTATCGGATTACAATTTTCACCGACAAAAACTAAATGTATTTTATTCACACGAAAACATGACACTCTTAACTCCACATCTGAAGCTATATAATCAAATCCTCAGTTTTACAAATAACATTTTTAGGTACGGTTTTCGACCAAAAGCTCTCCTGGAAAAAACATACAAAAGAACTTAAAAAATGATGCCAAGCAGAATTAAATGTTATGAAAACTATTTCCAGCAACAACTGGGGAGCAGATCAAAATACACTATTACATGTATATAAATCATTAGTTAGATCCAAACTCGACTATGGTGCGATAGTTTGTTCATCAAGCAAAGTATCAGTATTGAAAACCTGAAACTGTTCAAAACAAGCTCTACGAATCGCTACAGGTTCGTTTCGAACGACACCAGTTGAAAGTTTACAATGCTTAACAGGAGAACCACCCCTAAGTTTACGATGCAAATACCTTTCTCTCTGATATGATTCTAAAATACCTAGAAATAAAGAACACCCTACTTATACCAATACGTTCACAGATCGATCTCAATACACTTTCTCAACGACAAGACTACATCCACCATTTAGCGAAAGAGTTAGAAGAAAGCTGCATAACCTATATCTTGAATTTCCGAAATTCTCCCAACAAATTTCCTAAATTCTCCACCTTGGTTAATACCAATTCCCAAGATTAATACTAACCTTAGTATATACAAAAAAAAGTGAGTCTATAACAGACCTGATCAAACAATCATCCTTAATAAAAATGGAAACTTATAAAAATCACTATAAGATATACACTGACGCATCAACATCTTCAGACGGTGTTAATGCAGCCATCCTCACACGCAATATATTCTTAAAATTTAAATTCAATTCCATTACTTCGTCATACTGCAGAGTTCTTTGCAATATTGTTTGTGGTCCAATATGTTTAATTATAATTTCTAAAGCAAAACGAATTTCTTATAGAATTCATAATTGTTCTACCAGCTTAGCCATCTTTAAATAAAATACTAATAAAACTGAGAGTAATAAAAAAGTGTTTTACATAGGTATATCTTACCTTTAACATGATTCTTAGGATCACAATTCCAGAAATCGCGAGATGATTGAGCCATGACCTTCTTTACGATTTCGATAGCATTATTGGTCCTTTCTTCAAATCTATCACGCATTACTTGAGCCTCTGTTGTGAAATTACCTATAAATAGATTAATTATTGGAATATTATAAGAAGATAAATAAATAAAAAGAACATACAATATTCGGCCAAAATAAACGTTACAAAAATATTGTGTGTAGAGAATCAGACAACAAAGTTGCATTTATTACATGTGGCTTCCTGCTCATTATTTATTACTTTACCCTTATATTAAATATAATTTTCGAGAATATGGTTCTCTTGTGGTAATTTTTTTAGAAGAAAGAACATGATTTTCGGTCATACGAAATTGTATGGAATAATATATGTTTAAAACACAATTCAGAAAAATATGGTCTAATAGTTTTAGGCCTATTTGTACCAAGTGTAACACTGGAGTCTGGGTTTTGCATTATCTCTACCCCATCAATCTCGTAAGCGGATTCTAGGGTATACGGTATTCCTAATAATATTTATCATTTCGCTTTATTCAAGACTTTCTCAGTCTATAAAATTTCCCTTTTATAACTATGTGCGAGGGAATAGTCCTAGTAGAATCCCCATAGCTGATGTGAGGGAGGGTTCCTGTATAATTAGAAGGCGAATAAGTCTTTGAACCTTGCATAATTTGAGAATCTAACATTTTTGCTGCAGCTTTGTCCACATACAATCCATGCATTTATCATTGATGTTTTTTCCACCATATTATAAATCAAACATTTCATGTTTGGTTTTAAACTGGATTCTAATTAAGACTTCTATATAGCATTACCCCAACGTGCTTTAATTCACTCACCAAATTTGAAATTATACCATTCTGGGGATTGTATTAATACCTACATCTTATATAGTATCTTATAATTATTTCATTCCAAACTTTTTTGCTACGTCCATGGCTAACAATGGACTGTGGGTAAATACAAGAACATCGGGCCCCACGTTGGGCGCCACTTAATTGTGTAAGCGAATTGTTGGGCGGTAGATGAGTGTGCCTAATTGAAGATGGTAACACTAAAATAAGAGCTGCAACGTGGTGCCTGATATTCTTCTGTTTATTCACATTAGGCTATTTCATGGCTGTTTATAAGTTTCAGATTTTAAGCCCATTCTGTGATTACAGTCAGAGTCTGTACTATTCCATCTCTGACTGTACCAGTCAATTTTCTATGTGCTAGGATGATCGTGTGATCTGCATAGACCAGGACATACTGCCTGTCGTTGCTGGATCTAGCGATCAAGTCTACATAGACATAAACATAACTAGATTCTACAAGAGAGGAGATAAGACTCTGTGGACAGTATCTGTTATCATATTGTATTCACCACTAAAGTTGCTTATATGATACGCTTCTTCAGTATACACTCTATTCATCTACAGCTTGTTTCGTCTATTCTTTTCGGATGGTTTCCCTTACTTTACTACACTGTTAATAAAAGATTTATTTCACGATGCAATGAATAAATTACATTAATGCTTACCTTTATTATACAACCTCAAAAGCATATAGGAGAACTGGATCATGGAGTATCCTTTAAGCTCTGTAAGAGCTATAGCGTTATACAGGTTATAGATAACCTGCTGCGGTGACTGCCTAGAATTGCATAACATATCTCCTTCCACTTCCTAATAAAAAATTTGGTTATAACAAGTATACTTAAGTTAGTTGAGTATTTTTCTATATAGTTTTCGCATGTTTTTACTACTGCATTGTTTTTTTTTAATTGTACATCAATAATGTTACGATTTTACAATGTTTATCAAAGTGAATCAAATTGCAATAAAAATTATAAATATTGGAAAATTACTATTGGATTATTGGGTAAATATGGCAAAAAATAAGTTTTTAGACTTTTGTTTGCTCTTGTCTCGTATTTTTACGTGTCCTTACAAAGTAGTATCATGACATTGCTCTCTGAAGTCACTCACAATGGTTCTCTTTATATATAATCCAGACAGACCACTTTAGCTCCTTCCATGAAACAATTTGCTGGTTATGAACAATAGTTATACCTGATTTTCTTCCTGTATCTTTCTGGAAGGCCATAATTTTAATAATCTCCCGTGCCGCTTGTATTCACAATCAAACAATTAGTATGTGAACAGTCGAACTTCTAAAAAATTATAAATTTTGCCATATTTAAACAATTTGAAGTTACAATACAATCATTTACTAAAACAGCTTTTATACCTTTTTAGCATTTGGAAACAGATCTTTTTTAACAATGGTGTCTTGAAGCTTATCCATCAGTTCATCAACGTTGTTCTTATCGTATAGAACAGCCTCTGCTAGATCTACCCACGCTTGTTTGGGTGATGGAATTCTCCCTGGTGCCGTTTGCTGCTTCTGGAATCTTCGGAAGGTCTCATATAGACCGTATATTCCTCTGAGATCGGAAAGGGCTAACTGCATAGCCCAAACACTGTCAAGGCTGTCCAAGCCGTACGTCAGGTCGTGTGGAAATGCCTTTATATGATGGAGAATTGAAATTAAATTTTTGAACATGAAAATATCAAAATGTTGTTATTGCGTTTGGTGTATCTGGTGTCATTAGTAATGAAATATCGACAAACTTACTGAAGAATGTTAAAAAACTGTTGTTAAGTAACGGATAGATAATAAAGTTTATATATAGAAAAATGGTATTTATGGAATTGTCATTTTAATTTGTATTTAACTAAGCCGAGATCCAACGGCGCGTGGAAAGGCAATCCTAGGTCCAAGTTCACACGCCGTGGAATAGGGAAAGCTTGGCGATCTTCTGTCGGCACGGTGAGTCCGTGATTTGTCGCTAAATCAACACGATTCAAAGGAGCTCGGACGTTGACGTGCTACTAGTAAGCGTCAGAGGAATGGTCCGAACACATTTGGAGGCGCCAACCTTTAAAGTCAACTTAGGATTGATATTCCACACGCCATACGATTCCGGCTTTACGATTGTGGATCTGACTACATAGTCTTTAATTAGAATATCCGTTATTTTCTTATGTAAAACTCTTCTTCGGTGCGTCGAGCTGGTCTTGGGATTAAGGTAAGAAATGTATCATGTATCTTCAAAAAAAAAAAATAGCTACAAAAAATTGGTAAATCGTAGACAAACCTAAAAAGTTAAAATAATTAAAGGTAGTAATATACGAATCAGAAAAGAATCCCCTTGAAATTAAGAAAATATTGAAAACCCAAAAACAAACCAGATGGTACACAAATAGAGTAAAAGCGGTTATCGTCCATGGAAAATAAATCTGGATAAGATATGCGCAAACAAAGGATCCAAAGTACAAAGAACTATGTAAGAATATAAACAATATTGCCAAATAGGTAGTAAGAGAAGCGAAAACAATCGTGGAAAGAATTTGGGGGTAGTTCAAGGTATCAAGAGGGCAAAAGAGAACAGAAACATATGGCATAAAAGATAACAAAATAACAAAATATACCATAAATCACACGAAATGATAAAAGTCTGGAAAGAATATGACATCTGTAAATTTAAATTAGAAGAAGACATAAGTCTGAACTTATGTCACATCAAGGTCAAGGGAAGAATATGGAGAATGGAGAAAGAAGATATCATCGAATCAATAAAAAGCATTTAGAACAGAAAATTTGTAGAAGCGGATGGAATAGAACCAGAAATGATGAAACTAATTGGTTAAGAAGCCATAGACTTATTTTAGATAATATGTAATGAAGCATTGAAGCAAAATAAAATTTCCAAAGATTGGGAAAATAATATTCTTCTACCAATTTATAAGAAAGCTGACAGAACCAACTGAGAGAACTTTAGAGCGATATGTCTAGAGCAAGAGATGAAATTTAAAAAAAAAGACACAACAGATAATATTTTTGTATTGATAAAAATAACATAAAGAAAAATGGAGCCAGGGAAGGAACTATTACTATGGTCTGTTTTTTAACCAGGAGGAGTAATTCAAATTTTCCGCGCCGTAATGCTTGTTTGCAATTGGTCCAACCGCAGGCAAGTTTACTCCACTAAATTATGACATATTGACACTAATGACATTTGTGAAATTTATTTATTATTATTATTTTCCTCTAATATATAAATCGATTTCTGACTCTTTAGGTTGTTTGTAATAACTTGGACTTGGTGATATGCGAATGCGAATAGTATTTAATGTGATATTTTTCTAGATGATATTTATACTAAATATAGTTTAAAGTGTTTATAAATTAATAAATGTGTGTTATTTATATCTAATTATCATAAGAAAAACGGCAACTATCTTTTAAATTTAGTGTATACTTGTTAAGAAGCATTTCCATTTTGTTTTCATCACAATAAAAGAACATTAGTAAAGTAATGTGTTTTAGTTTGATTGTATGATACAGTTAGTTTTGTTCTTCCTGGTTGTAGATCATCACAAGAAAACTGCAAAATTATGCAAAAATGTAACATAATAGATTGGATTTGTTGATTATCTCACAGAAATCCAGTATTTTTTAGTAAATTTTATTTGTTGATAACAAATGGGACAAACTCGCTGTCAAAATTAAACAAGAATCCAGCATTAAAGAAATTGTAAGTACACACTTATTTATACAAAGTATCTGGTAAGAAAAATAAACTAGATTCAAGAAATTGATCATACCAGAATAAGAATATGGTCTACTATTAAAAGACAAATTTCTGAGAAAAACCATACTTAGATCTGTAACATTATTGACTCTCCCGATCAAAATATTCTCTAAATTATAATTAAATACCATAGACTTATAGATCTATAAAACTGGATCACTCGATATTTAAATATATATATACATGGGACCAAATGTGAAAAACGTCCTTTTTTGCAAAGGAATATTGTAATATATATTGGAAGTGAATTGAAAAAAATTATTTTATTATTCAAACATAAATAAACAAAGTTAGGTTAAAATTGACGTGTGAAGTTGGCCAATATTGATTACTCGATTACCGCAAGGCCGAGATAATCAACAAAAAAAGAAGATGTATTTGGTGACTTTTCTAGTAACTTTCTTGAGTGTGAATCTGTCTTTTTGGTTTACTCCTCCTGGTTAAAAAACAGAGTATAGCATTCGAAGAATTGATTTCTGCATTTGACACAATAAATCGATAGATACATGTTTAAAACAGCTAAAAACCCAGAGTAAGCTAATACAAGTACTAAAATTAGTATATGAAAATACTAGAGCGAAAATACAAATCAGGGGAGAAAGATCACAAGATTTTTTTATGTACTTCATATTTTTAGAAGAGACATTTTAGAAATACATATGTCCCTAGTTATATACACTAGTTACATATAACTGTTACTTAAAAAACCAGTTTACAAGTTCTCAGCATCTGATAATTTGTTTACATAATAATTTCTTTTATAGATGATATGTGGTGAAACCCGAGAATATTTTTGTTCACGAGTGAAAGACGAATTGTGTTGAAATATTGTTTTAAATTAAAAGACGAGCAGATACAAAGAACGAATGAAAATAATTATTTTTAAACTACATAATTATAATCATACGGAAAAAAGGAATTTACGGACGATTGCCAAAATAAAACAACATATTTTAGTGTCGAATAATCACTAAAACCACCTGATACAGTAACCACAGGGTGGGCAAAGTTGGTGGAGTTATTTGCTTTTTCCATGGTGAATTTACAAGAACAATAATTTACATGAACAAGAACGATATAATGAATGAAAATATTAAGACAATAATTATTACTGGAGGGTGTAATGGGTATGCCTTAGTAAAGCATGCTAAATGCTAGAATATCCCAGTAAAAATATCGTGACATGGCTATGGAATCCCATCGCACATTTCTAAGCGAAGGAAAGCCAAACACCAATGGTTTCAAAGAATTGAATAAACAAAATAAAGAAGGAAGTAAAGGAGGATTTAAGGATCTACAATGAAAACAAGGTAGAAAAAATAATAGAAACGAACCGAGGTCTGAAATGCTTAAGATCAAACTTAGTAAAGCCTATAATAATCTCATTGAAGGATAAAGATGGAAAAGAAATAAGAGAAGAATAAGGTAAAATGTACTCAAACATTTTACCGGACTCAATGAGTCCATAATATGTACCTTTAAATAACTGCTTATGGAAAAATGGAAAAATATTCAGAAACCACATGTTTTTACTGATCTATACACAAAAATACACCCAACGCAATGCAACAAAAATGTTAATTTTCGACTCACCTCCTGAAGTTTATCTGCAAACTTTTCGTACTTCCTAATTAAAGTAACTGCTGCTCCGCCTTCGGTTACACCGGTTTCCAGATTCTCGTCTACATAGCCTAAAATTTCATCCCACAAAATATCCTCTAGTCCTAAAAAGTCGTACCGGTACCGGTCCACTTGTACAATTCTACTCGTGTCATTATCTTTACTGGCCACGAAACCGAGCACCACCAACGAGCACAACAAACACAATATTGTCTTTTTAGAGTTCATTTTTATAGTTATTTCATAAGTTTGTATAACTTAAAGTCCTCATTTGTAAGAGCGTGGCTTCAAACAACTAAAAATTTGATATTATAATAAAATCATAGGCATATAATACTAATGGACTGAGTGAGAATTCCTCCAGTGCGACAGAGAAAACTGAAGCAAAGCAATTTCTGTATATCATTCTAATGTTCCGATTTTATCGACCTCGTAACCTAAATGGCCAATGGGAAGATCACGTGGTCGATAAACCCGGTCCATTAGAAAGAGATGCAGGGAATGCTTTGCGTCAGTTTTCTCTGTCGGACTGGGGGAACGGGGCTGTATTGCAGCGCTCAGTCTAATTGTATTAATATGTCTATGAATAAAATAGACATATTCCCTCAAAAATAACTTAAAACCAGAGTTTTAAATATTATCTACATTTTAATGTTTTTTCTGTAATTTAAAAGAGAATAGATATATGCAGGGGGGAACAAAGGAGTAGGATACGAAAATATGGAGTTGATTCCGGTTTACTCCACTTAGCCTCTTCTACTCAAATCCGACTTTGAGGACAGGTGTCCCCTGTTCAACCGAACAACCCAACTGAAGATCAGGTATCCAACCCGGGTGGAAGGCAACTGACAAGAGCGGGTGAACTGGTCCTCCAGGTTGGGGGTTGGGCATAACATTATAAGAGTTTTACCAGGACTGAAAGGTTCAACCCGTCAGAATCCACCACTGTGTCCTAAAGAAGCTTGGAAATGATTAATAACTGATGACATGTTGGAAATTATTGTTGAACATACCAACACAAGAATTGACTTAGTATCCTCAAATTACGCTACATTCAAACGACGTAAAAACTCTCTCTCAAAATTTGCCCCAACTTTCATTGAAAGAACAGATAAAATTGAGATAGAAGCTTTTATTGGACTTTTATTTATGCAAGGTATATTTAAGTCTAACCATGAAGATTTAAAATCATTATGGGCAACAGATGGTACAGGGAGAGATTTGTTTAGATGTTCGATGTCACTTGCACGATTCTTATTTTTGCTAAGCTGTTTAAGATTCGACAATCATCTTACAAGGTCTGAAAGAGTGAAAACTAATAAATTGGCAGCTATATCCAACCTATTTGAAACTTTTGTAAAAAACTCCCAACAGAACTATGTTCCAGGTCCTCACGTTACAGTAGATGAAATGCTGGTACCATTCAGGGGAAGGTGTGCATTTAGAATGTACATACCTAATAAACCTGCGAAATATGGTATAAAAGTGCAGATCTTTGCCGATTCCCAAACACACTACATGTATAACGCGGAGGTCTATACAGGAAAAATTCTCCAACAGAAACAAAAATCGCTATTTTCACATCCAACTGAGGTTGTTCTTCGAATGATAAAATGTATTGAAAATTCCAACCGTAATGTCACTGGAGATAACTGGTACACATCAATGGAATTAACCAACGAGTTAAGAAAACGAGGAATTACATATGTAGGTACAGTGAAGAAAAATAAAAGAATGATTCCTCCAGAATTTATGGCCGACAGAAAGAGACCTGCTAGTTCTTCAGAGTTCGGATTTACATCAGACAATACTCTGGTATATGTCCCAAAAAAGGGAAAATCTGTTGTTTTAATATCATCAATGCATCACGACTGTACTGTTGATCAGAGCACTGGGAAACCCGAAATAGTTATGTTTTATAACCAAACCAAAGCAGGTGTAGATGCTTTGGACGAAAAATGTGCAACATATTCGACTTTTCGAAGGACCCGTCGATGGCCTATGGCAATTTTTCACTGTATTTTAAATGTGTCTGGTGTAAACAGCCGAATAATATATCAGTTTTCCCGAGGAAAAGAAATATCCCGTTACAATTTTTTAAAAGAACTAGGCATTGCACTGTACACGCCACATATGAAGAAAAGACTTTACAACGTAAATGTACCCCGGAAACTTCGATGTCTCGCAGCGAATATCCTTGGAGTAGATATAGATGACACACCTGCACCATTGCCAATACAGAATATATCTAAAAGGAGGAGATGCGCAATTTGTCCCGGAAAAAAAGACCGGAAAACAAATACATACTGTTTTGTGTGCAAATTACCTATATGTTTAAAATGTGCTCTAAAAATATGCCCAAATTATAAATAGGAATTTATTTTACATTAAATTAGTTTACCGTTATATAAAAAAGTGTTTATGACTTAAAATAAATGTATTAGCTAATGTTTTTTCTTTATTTCAGAATTTTAAAACTGGGTCACAGTGACCCGTCAATAGCAGCTGCGAGATAACTTTTTGTCGGTAGCAGTTACGGGATATGCCTATTTAGAACGTTCAACTACTACTTGAGTGTACATCGAAATAGAATCATCAAAAAAATGGAAAAGAAGAAGTCACAGGTCAGATGTGTGGAAAGGCATCGGACGTCCGCACCGAAAACCTTTGATGTGATATATAAACAGATGATCTGTCTACACATCTCCAATCTACAATCTACACATCTCCAGATGCATACGGAGATGTCGTCCGCGGACGCGTCTGTGGATGTTTGGAGGAGGCATAAGAGACTTCATCAGCGCAGAACGAGATCAAACCTGGAAGACTATGAAAATCTTGGACGAGAAGAAAAAAGGACGTTTAGAAGGAAAAAGAAGAAGCCATACGAAAACGCTCTAAACGAGATTTCTCGAAACTATTTCGAGAGAAAAATTTTAAGGAAAATATATGGATGAGTCCAAGAACAGGGTTTGTGGCGTGGAAATGGGACAATTCGTCGTCGCCAATTCGCCGTCGCCGATTCACCGTCGCCCATTCACCGTAGGGACAATTCACCGTTAGCCGATTCGCCGTCGCCGATTCGCCGTCAGAAATTTAATTTTGAGCATGTTTATTAATAACATTTGGTTATAAAAATAAGATTTTAGGCAACGCATTATTTTATGGTAAGTACCTATTTATTAATGTTTATTGAGTTGGTGTTTTATTTTTATTAGGAATAAATTAATTTTTTAATAAAACAAAACATAAAACAATGGATGCTTTGTTTCATTTATTTAGCAAAAATATTTAATTTAACATAAAATTATATGAATTAAGTTTTCGTTAAACACCAACCCTCAATAAATGGGTACTTACGAAAAAAAAATGATTGCCTAATTTTTTGTTAAACATTTTTTTATTTCAACAATAATTTAAACAAAAAGTTAAATCCTTGAATCATTATTCACTGGTTATTAATGGTCATTAAATAAACAACAACTATTTTAACCCACATTAGAAGATCAACCACCCTAATTGTTTTCTAATTCTTGTTAAATATTTTATTCCTAATAAAAATTTAAACATCAACACACCATTAATTGGTACTTACTATAAAATAATTTATTGTCTAAAATCTTCTATTTATAACCAAGTGTTAATAATAAACATTCTAAAAATTAAAATTCTGACGGCGAATCGGCGACGGCGAATCGGCTAACGGTGAATTGTCCCTACGGTGAATAGGCGACGGTGAATCGGCGACGGCGAATTGGCGACGGCGAATTGTCCTAGACCCTTGTGGCGTAGGCGCTACAACTTTGAGTTATACAGAAGTTTTGGGAAACCTGACGTCGTAAAATGTATTAAACTAGCACGCCTTCGATGGATAGGACATGTAATTAGACGAGATAAAGATGCAACGATCAGAAAAATTTTTGACCGAAGAGGACCAGTGGGAAGACGAGAAAGAGGAAGACCAAAACTTAGGTAATTACTATTTAAATGGGAATAAGCCACAATTAAAGGTTAAAGTACGTTTATTGACGTTTTAATTTCCACTTTGGAAGTCGTTCTCAAAATATAAACATTAGTTATTAATACAAGGGAAAATCCAGGGCAGGAGAAGTGTAGGAAGGAGAAGAATCAAATTGTTGCGTAACTTGAGGGAATGGTACGGATGCACATAAATTGAACTATTCAGACCGGCAACATCTAAGATCAGAATAGTCATGATGATTGTCAACCTCCGTCGTGGAGATGCCAAGTAAAAAAGAAAAATGAGCAATTAAAAACTGCAGTGCATATTCTAGTTCAAATTATACTACGAAGCAAAATGTACGGAAGATGGAGTTCAAGAAAAATAACGATACAAGACTTTTTACACAGCAGTCAATATAATCATATAATATTCAACCTTCGAACCGGACAGGCACTAAAAGAAGAAGAAAACAATCAAGATTACAGTTTGAATAAATTACTCCGCATTAAGATCTATATTTTCCAGCAAAAGTAAAACTTCTCTTGGTAATATTAAAATTAATTGCTGAAGGCCATTTGAAGTAGACGCTGTTTATCGATCTTTGGAGCCTTTCTTGGTATTAAAGAAAGTTGACCGGTCGTTATTTACAGTTATTTTTTACACGTTTAGTTGAAACAAAAAATATTAACATTCACAGCACAAAAAAATTGGAATACTTCATTATGTCTTCGTAATGTGTTTAATAAAATTATATACAATTAAAATATTACAGTTTTTAGAAGAAAATAAGAAACGTATTTTTTACAAGTTAAAAATATTATGTGCCAATATGTAAGAACTTATTTATTGTACATACATGATTCACAATTTAAAAACTACAAAATAACACTGTGCTGGCAAAATAACCTACATTATGCTTCATATAGCGATATGGTAGGCATGGTAACAGTAAAAAAACATTAAAAAAGTAAATTAGAAATTAACAAAATATAAATGCACAATGCAACATCTTAACGAAGTAAAAGTTGATCGTGTTATTCCGTTAACACATTGAGTGCCACTATAGACAAAAAAAAAGTCCGTGGGGAAAAAATATATTTTTTTAATTTTTAAATGAAACTAACCATAAATAACTGTTTGTGCTATTAAAACTTGAAAAAAATAAAAAACCTGCAATTTAACAAAATGATGACACGTTGGTCTCAAGCGGCCTCGGAGTTTCAATTTTTTGCTTTCGGGCCATATGAGACCAATGTGTCACCATACCATGATGATGTAATATATTCACAGATTTCGACTCGCAAAGGTTTACGTCACGGCGCGAACGTTGT